GCATATGCATTTCTTTTGACACTTTGTTACTAAAGTCATGGATGAAAATCTGATGGCAAAATAAATTCACACAGATCTAGCATGCCAGTTATCAATTCATTGCCACTCAGTTCTAAATTCAGGCTTCAACACGTGTTGTGTTAGAGGGACAGCACTCCTTTAAACATTTTTCCTTCACAGTGAGTGTGATGTTAAGCTTTCTCAGAAGAGGGTGCTGGAGGGACGCTGCAGGGACGCTGCATGACGGAGGTTCTCCTTGCTGCTGCTTCCAACAGGGCTCAGCAAGGGCACTGGCTGGTTATCAGTCCCAGCCATGCAGCAACCTAGAAGGCCTGTCCAGATTGTTGATCACCTTCCCATGGCTCCCTGGACAGACACCATATTCCTGGCCTCCTGGCCACACCAGGCTGTACTTCCTCTGCATGCCAAGCTGCCTGGCTACTGGCTGCCCTGCCTGCCAACTTGAGTTTCACACACCTCTCTGCACACACAGGCTCCCAGCCACTGGCTGTGGCTCACCTTACAGACACTACGTGCTCCAGGTTGCCTGCGTGCACCACCTGCCCCACTCACCTTGCATGCCCACAGCCCTGATCGCCAGTTGCAGCTGCCCCGTGCCCATCTACTCCTGAACCCAAGAAATTGCTTCTTGCTTCCCTGGGAACTATGAACCAGCTATGGCTGGCAAACTAGTGAACTTCTCTGCCATCTAGTGGGCTGCACTACAAAGGAAGGGCGAAAGTACTTTACAGTTGTGACTATGCAAAACAGCATTATTCTTATATTAGTATTTATTAATTATTGTTGTTTTCCATACAAACAAAGGGCGAAAGTACTTTACAGTTGTGACTATGCAAAACAGCATTATTCTTATATTAGTATTTATTAATTATTGTTGTTTTCCATACAAACAACTGTAAACCTATTTTGACCCCATCCTGCATTTTTCCAATGAGGTCTCAGCCCTCGCCTGAGGAAGGACCCCCCTTCTTGAATTTGTCATTCCTTGGGTACCCCCCAGACCAAAACTATGACTCTTTCTTTTCTCTCTCTTTTTTATGTTTCCTTATATCTTACTGTTATTCTTTTATTACAGTTTAAGAATTTTTTATATTTATTAAACTTTCCCAGTTTAAGTCTCCTAACTGGGCCCAGACTGATACAGCCTTGGCTCTGAGAGTGGTCCCAGGAGATAGACCCCTAAAGATAGAAATTGAGGATTAGTTTGGTCATGTGCTTAAAGCTTGGGTGCAGTGCTGAGCCCCCTGAAAATGTGGAAAGGATGTTAGTATCTCACTGCATGCAGTGACATCACAGTTAATCAAGCCTGCAGCTTTCTGTGGTGAAATGCCAAGTCAAGCATGTGCTTTGGGAGTGACTTCTGTACTTGACTGTACGGCAGTAATAATGATTTTAAGGGCTGTGATGTGGATGGATTATTTTGAATGCACTTAAACATTTACAAAGAGAAAATGACAAGGTTGGGTCCATTAACTTTCTGCTCAAGACATGGTCTGAGAAGCGGAAAGTGTCTTATAATACCAGCCTTAAAAGAATCTTGTGTTTATTGCAGCCACACAGCTGCTCCTGTCAAAAATCAAAAACAAAATTTAATCATATGGGTTGTTAAGTTATTATAACAGTTGAATTAACCAACATGCCATTTCTCATGTGAAACTCAGGGCACTGATCAGGAAAGAAAGGAATCCTGAAAGTTGGAAGGAAGATACCTGGTTGGACCCAGGTGACAGCCCGGGACTCTCACATGTTCTGAGCCTTCCTTACCAGAGTGGCCTGTATTCCTTTACCTGCGGAGACTTACGTTCCTCTGCTTGAAAACCCTGTGGTGAGCTCAGTCGGAGTAGACATCTTAGGAGCCTCCCTCCCCAAGGCTGACTAAGCTAACACCACTGCTGAGCAGTAATCTGTCACCCACACAGACTGACGCTGGGCTCCAATACGGTGCCGTTCCCATGAGGACCAGCCTGCAAGTTTGCACTGGACACCTTCCATCATGGAGGGGGAAAGATGTGTCCTCACTGGAGCACTGACACAATCTGGACGTGGATTTGTCTTCCTTATCTATAATGCCTTTTCTATGTTATTTTTATTACTATTTTAAAAATACTTATTGATTTTAGAGAGAGAGAGACATCAATGTGACAGAGAAACATTGTTGCCTCCCATATACACCCCAACCAGGGACTGAACCTGCAACCTAGGTATGTGCCCTGACTGGATTTACAGAATGCCTTTTCTAAGGGTGTAACGTTCTGCAAAACACTGCATCTAATCAAGGACCTCATTTCACAAAAAAGAAAGTACAGCAGTGGGCTCAGGTCCATGGAACCAATTAGCCGTACCACGAACCCCACCGACCAGAAGTGGCTGGCCTTAATTCACTGATGGCTTAGTCACAGCACCAATTGGAGGCCGTATCCTAAAAGGATGGAGCTCCATCTTACAGGGTGTAGCTTATGCTTTGCATCAGAGGCTGTTACATGGAGTTGTCTCCTCCACGGTCAGAGTACACGGGACCCGGAATCGAGGGGTGGAAGTGAGAGTGGCTCTTCTTATTATTACACCTTAATGACTCTTATGAAAATGTTGCTTTCAGTTCCAGTAACTTTGAGATCCACTGGTTTTGAGAGCTTAGTCTCTATGGGGAGAATGTTTCCCCCAGGGACACAACAATGGACTTACTGAATCAGAAGATAAGAAGGCCACCTGCCATTTTTGGTGCCTAATGTCACCGAACCAACAGGCATAAGAAAATGGGGTTAATTTGCTGGCTGAAGTGACTACCCTTGATTACCAAGGGGAAATCGACTTGCTGCTACACAATGGAAGTGAGGAGGTCTGTGTCTGACACCAGGGGGACGGGGGTCCTCTGGGGTACCTCTTGGTACTTCCATACTTAACAGTAAAGGTTAATGAAAAACCTCAGCAACCAAAAAGAGCAGAATGATGAGGATTGAAGGTCTGGGTCACTCGTTATGTGAAGAATGCAGGGCAGTGGAGGTTCTGGCTGAGGGCAAGGGAAATATAGGATGGGCAGGTGAAGGAAGCCATAGATATCAACTGTGATCTCATGACTGATTACAGAAATGAAGAGTACAGTCACTTTGCAAATGTCCTTCATGTTTGTTATATGCATGTGTTTATATGAATACACTAGCCATTAACTCCTCTCTCCTTTCCATTTTTATTTAGACACAAATAATTGGAGGGTGACTTTATAAGGTAATTTTTAGGTGATACAATGAATATTCAGAGGGACTGGAAGAGAAATTAATAGTGATGGATATAATGATTAAGACTGTATGTCTTCTCATTTTGGGAAAGATGATTTACTTGTAAGAAGGAGGGAGTTCTAAAGTATGTAGAGGGTCCATATAGCAGCGGAGTAGCCAAAGGGTAGACTGCTGATTTTCTATTTATTGTCTGTCAACTCCAAAGTCCCCCTTCAATGCATGCTCCACGGTGAGCTGGATGTTGACCTTTCTCAGTAGCGGGCACTGCAGGAGGAGGGGCTCTCTGGCTGTTGCCAGCAGCAGCCAGGTCCCTCAGCAGCGTGGGTATGAGTGTGGGTCTGGATAGTGGTTGTGCAACAATGTGAAAATACCTAACGCTACTGAATTGTATGCTTATTCATTTAGAATGAATAAGATAGTGAATCTTATATTACATGTATTTAACTATAACTTTTAAAATGTTCTTCTTTATATGTGTAAACACCTGGTGGTGCTCTGTGGCAAACATGCACCCAGATCACGCAATCCCTGATGGCCTCGCACCTGGCGTCCAGCTTCCTGTGGCTCTCTCCACGCACACTGCATGCCCCAGGCCTCCTGCTCACATTGGTGCTCCCACTCTCTGTGAAAGCCATGAACCTGGCCACCAGCTGTGACTCACCCGTGCCCCCTCTGTGCCTAGGAGGGCTGCCTCCTGCTTGCCCAGTGACTGTGGAACCTGCTCTGGCCCAGGCCAACCAGCAAACTTCTCTACCGTCCAGGGGGCTGCAACTACACCTTTTTCATCAAGTGTGGATCACCAGCTCCGGGACGGCAACCTGTCTTCTAAGTCTGTCCTTCTTTCTCCTCAGCCCTAGGGAAGGACAGTTTTATTTTACCTTACAGTTACTTTGTTATCATACTTTCAGAGTCCTTTATATGAAACTTCTGTTTAATCACTATACAGTCTCTGTCTCCTGATGAGTCTCATACTGATGTAACTGGTATAGCATCCCACAGAGCATTTCCCTGTTATAAAGGGGGGAATATGACTTCGCAGCGGAGGATGTGGCCATTACCACCCTAATCCCCTAGTTAATGTCAACTTCCCTCATAGAGGACACCCCAGCATAATGCTGATTCCAGCTGTGACACAGCACAAACACCATGTCATCGCCTACAGTGCATTTCTGACAAAGACGTTCAATCTGCATCTAATCACATCTTGAGATGTAACACACAGTTTCACGAAATACAAGCTATGACAGAGAAAAAAGACTGCACCAGGAAGCAATAGGACAAATCCAGAAAGTAAAGTAACTTGGTCTCTTAAACAAGTCAATGTCATGAAAACAAACAGTAGGGGTGGGAGTGGGGATAACAGTGGGCAAATGTACAAGGGACTTGATTAAGAGAGGTAAGCAAACGAGTAATTCTTATCTGGGTCTCGATTTGAACATTTATCAGTTATAAAAAGACATTTTGAAGGCAACTGGAGAAGTCTGACATTATGGTATTAAGTGTTAATTTTGTTAAGTACAAAATAGTATTGTGGTTTCATTGGAAACTATCATTTTTTAAATTAAAGTAATGCACATTGTAGTCATGTCTGTAATTTACTTTAAAAAATACAGCAGAAGAGGTACTCCATTAAACGTATGTCTGGGTTTGTTTTTAAGAATTTTACTTATTTGTTTTTAGAGAGAGGGGAAGGGAGGAAGGAAGGGAGAAAAACATTGATGTAAGAGAGATTATTATTTTAAAATTTTATGTGCCCCAGGCATGAACCAGCTCTGGCCACCAAAGCAGGCAATAAGCTAAGATGAACTAAGGACTGTACAACTGCTTTGCCCCTGGCTGATATAAGAGCAACACTACCAATCAGGTGTGTCCTCGCCCATCAGAGAAAATTACTGATTGGTTGCCTCTCGCACATGCCCCGTGACCAGCCTGCAAACCAGGCACGTGCTCTGACCAGGAACTGAACCAGGGACCCCCTGCCATGAGGGATGACACAAACCAACTGAGCCATACTAGTCAGGGCTGGGTTTGTTTTTAAATACTCCCAGAAAAGTGTGTGTACTGGTGAAGAGGGATAAGTGAACAGAAAGTGGCAAACTGTTGACACTTGTTGAGACAGGGTAATGAGCACTTGGATTATCATAAAAGTACATTCACTGTATTTGTATTTGCACTGTTCCTTAATAAGTTTTTTTAGACTTTCAAAATAGTTGAAGCAAATATTACTACATAACAATTTTTAAGGCTAAATGATGGCTATGAGTGTTCATTCTACTATCCTATTTTGTTGTACATTTGGAATTTCTCAGAATAAAAGGTTAAATACAATTTCCAAGAAAGGAAGCGAGGGGTTCGTCTCTACGCAGTGCTCCAGGGAATGAAGTTCAGGTGAGGCCTGAGTTGCCTCCACTGCAGTAACAGCAGGTCACTGAGAACAGGTGGTTGGCCCAGAGCGGGACGTCACTGGGAAGAAAGAAAAAGCAAGATGGATGGATGGCAGTTTCAGACCTTTGGGATAGGGAAGAAAAAGATGGGGCAAGGAGGAGTTTGTTTCTTGAACGGGGAAGTTTATTTTTTGTAAGGATGGGGAGATTTGAGTGTACTTGAAGTCTGGTAGGGGGCACTTGGGGGTAAGGATGGTAGAAAATGGTGCAGAGCAGTGGTCCTCGAATATCCGTGCTGCAAAGAAACACCTGGGTGCTTATTACAGTACAGATCAAAATCCCAAGACCGACCCCAGAGATAACACAGTAGAATGGGTCCAGGAAGTTGACTGTAGCCAGCCTCTCCGGTGATTTTGATGCAAAGGGTCCCGGACAACAGCAGGAGAAGCACTGGCCGAGGAAGGGTGTGGGTGGATGGAGCATGGGTTCTCAGAGGGCAGGGAACCACGTGCTCATTTCCTCAGGGGGGTGGGAAAGACAGGGGGCAGGTTTGGCTGGGGGAAGCCTACATCCTTCTGTGCAATGGCTTCCAGTTCTCTGGGAAGCATGAGGTGAAATCAACTGTTGAAAGGAGGAACCAAGGAGTCTTCAATTTTCAGTATTCCCAAAATGTTTTAATTGTTTACAATGAAATGCTTCTTTGTGTCATCTTCTAAAAGGAAAAGCAGAGCCCTTGCGGTGAGTGTAGGTTCACCCCAGGTAACAGGACTGTGAGGGCCCAGTGGAGGCGGATGGCCATGGACTTGTAGCAGACCCCCATGGCAGGACTCAGCAGCCTTTGTACAGGCACAGAGACGGTGAGCGGTGGATGTGTCGGGAAGTGGTTCTGTGGCAGTCAGGTGCAACCAAAGGGCAAAGGAACGGGTTGTCAGGGGAAAGGGAAGAAACTGAACTGACTGACCATGGCTGTTACGTCTACCCAGCTGGGCAGGGAGGGGCGCAGTTACAAGAAGAAGTTCTGCATGCGACACAGAGAGAACAGAGGACTCCAGGAGTGAGGGTCCCAGTGAGGTTGAAGGACAGGTGTATTAGAAAGTATCAGAGTGTCAGTGAGGACAGGAGCTTGTGGCCAGAGAGGCGCCTGTCTGAACTCACTTCAGTGTCTGAAGCAGAGCAGCTCAGGATGAGTACAGGGGCAGAGCTGGGGGCGTGGGGGGGGGCGCACGTGTGCTGAGGTGGGTATCAAGGAACCATGAAGCCAGGTGGTCGGTGAGTTACCCTGGAAGGTGGCAAGAACTGAGATGCTTAGGAGGCTGTGGGCCGAAGTCTCCAATCACCCAGTCAGTGAGGGACACGGTCCAGGAGGTTGGCAGCGACACAGACCTGCGTGGGAAGGAGACAGAGCCCCTACGGGGGGTACAGGAGCAAGGCTCAGGGAGTGAAGAGCATCAAAGTGCGGACTACATCCCCAAGGCTTCAAGGCAAAGAAGTGTTCTCAGGGACAGTGAGGTGACTCAAGCCGTGCCTCGAGAGTGGCACGGGGTATGAATGGGCAGAGTGAAGGGCAGCAGGTAGTGGGGGCTCTCAGAAAAGCCTGGGGGAATAGACTTCGGGAGGACAGGCCACACCCTCAATGAGGAAGGCCGGTTATATCTTTCTCCTGTACTTGCAGGTCCCAGAAGTGGAAATCCCCTCAGTGGCCGCAAATGGACCCTGGACTCTAATGCCAGGAAACCGCCGGCTCTGGTAGCCTCCATCCCAGCCCCCTCCAGGAAACAGTGGAGAAAGTCTCGTGGTGGTGCGGCTGGCCTGCCAGGAAAGCGTGGCCCACCCCGGCGCGAGAGGAGTGCTTGTGTGGAAACGGATGCCCCCCGGCCTGCCGAGGCCCGGGGAACAGACCGCTGGGGATGAAGGCGCACATCACCCCTGGCCTTGGGGAGTGACCTAGGAATTCCAAAACCCCCAGGCCCTAAAGAGAATCCATCACCACCCCGGAAACCTCTCGACTCCAGTCTGCCTCAAAAACAAACACCATTAAGGAACTCTTTTCCAGAACTGTTGCTGGAAATGTGAAATGGGTCAGTTACCACAAAAAAAAAAAAACAAAACAGTATGATGAGTCCTCAAAATATCAAACACGGAATTGCCATAGGATCCAGCTACTCCACTTCAGGGTATATATCCAATAGAAATGAAGACAGGGTCTCGAAGAGGTATTTGTATGCTGCTATTCATAGCAACATGATTCACAACAGCCATGAGGTAAAAGTAACTTGAGGGTCCGTTAATGAATGAATAGAGAAGAAAAATGTGATACATGCCTACGATGGAATATTATTTGGCTCTAACAAGGAAGGTAATTCGGATGCATTATACAACACAGATGATCCTTGAGGACAATAGCATGCTAAGTGAAATAAGCCAGTCACAAAAAAAGCAAATACAGCATGGTCCCACTTACATGACCTAACTAGAGTAGTGGAATTCGCAGACATAGAAAGCAGCATAATGGTGGTTGCTAGGGTGGGGGCCGGGGGTGGGGAGGAATGAGGAATCACTGCTTCACAGGTATAAAGCTCCAGGTTTACAAAAGTGAAAAAATTCTGGCTAGTGCTTGTGCAACAATGTGAAGACACCTAACACTACTGAACTGTGCTTTAGAATGAATAAGATAGTAAATTTTATATTACAGGTATTTAACTACGACTTTTAAAATGTCCATCTTTATGTGCGTAAAAAAACAAACCAACCCTCAAACTCCAGAAAGCCGACTAAAACAGTCTACTTCTAAGAAGTTTCAGAAATATACAGGGGTTGGCAAAAGTAGGTTTACAGTTGTCCGTAAGGAAAAATATATCATGCATACGAGAATAAGCTGTATTGTACGTACTTACAACTGTATACTTACTTTTGCCCGCCCCTGTAAATGTACCTTCAGGTTCCCTTCTTTGGTCATAAAGTATGTTTCTAAAGCACCTGAGACAACATGTTGAAAATGAAGCTTACCTTCTTCCCCACCAAACTCATTCTTGTTTTCTTATTATCTTAAAAACCAAAAACCCAAGTCACCCTCCATACCAGGTACAACCCATCACAATCTCCTTCAATTTTATCTCCTAAATATCTCTCAGATGGGCTCCCTTTTCTCTCCCAGCACCGTTACTGTCCTATTGCTTGCCGCCATCAACTTCTCCCTGGTCTATTCCCCCAGCCTCCTATTTCCCTTCTTGCTTCCCCTTTCCAACCTGCACCCCCTCCCATTGCCTCCAGAACACACAACCACACACACGCCTACAAATCCAATCACATCCATCCTTTCATTAAGATCCTTTCCTTTAAGCTTCTCACAGTTCTTCAAATAAAGGTGGCCTATAAGGCTCTGCAGGTTGTGACCCCTTAGAGGGGGGCATCAGCTGCATCTCTTGTCTGCCCCCTGCCCCGTCCCTGCCTGTGGCACTCCATCCAAACTGGCTCTTTAAAAAAAAAAAAAGAAAGAAAATATTTATTTTTAGAGAGAAGGGAAGGGAGGGAGAAAAAGAGGGAGAGAAACATCAATGTGTGGTTGCCTGTTGTGTGCCCCCTACTGGGGACCTGGCCTGCAACCCAGGCATGTGCCCTGACTGGGAATCCAACCAGTGAACCCTTTGGTTCACAGGCCAGCACTCAATCCACTGAGCCACACCAGCCAGGTCCACACTGGCTCTCTTTACTCAGGCCATTGAGAGTGCCCAAGTCTCTCTTGTCTCAGGACCTTTGTATATGCTCTTCTCCACCCCACTCCCTGCACCTATTTCTTTACTTTCAACTTACTAGTCTGTTATATGCTGTCTTAGGACCCTATACCTCTCCTTCACAGTGATTATGGTCAAACAAGTACTGAGTCATCAGTGTTTATCAACAGTGTCCTCCACTGGCTGTTAAGTTCTATGAGGGCAGACAGGTCTTACTGGTTGATAAACACTCAGCCTGGCAAGAAGTTGAGCAAAATTAATGAATAGGATTTAGCCCAAATTGGCTTTTTGGGATAAAAATGGGTAAAATTCTGAAACCTCCTAAGAATTAGTCACCATTCCCTCTCCTTGCCTTCCCAAATTAGTAAGTTTTCCAGAACACTACCTCCAATGAAAAAAATTCCCTTATACATAGGACTCAAAATGCACTGGCTGCTACCTGCTTATCATGCACTCGCTTTACTTGAACATATATTAAGTCCTGGCACAAGGTTATGCACAAATACAAATAACCACAAGTAACTGCACTTAAAACACTTCTACTCTGGTGGAGTAGCTAGAACACACTATTTTCCTGTAAACAAACAACCCTGTGCATTAGCACAGGTTCCTAGTCTAAGGCTGGGTTCCAATCCCTACTCCACTCCTTACTGTGTAACCTGGTCACCTAGCCTCTTCGTGCCTTAGCTGCCTCTTCAGTAAGGTGGGCTTAATAATGATGCCTACTCCATGCAGTTGTGAGACTTAAGTTACTATAGATAATGTACTTAGCA